GAGGCCCTCAGCCTGGAGGCGGCCAGGGAGCTGCTGACCAGCGAGCAGAGGCCTCCGCGGGACAAGAAGGACAAGGCCCAGAGTCGCAGCCAGCAGGGGTTGCTGAAGACGGTGCTGAACTTCTTCCTGAGGACAGGCCCCGAGGAGGCCAAGGACAAGGCCGCCAGGAGGGCCAGGGCGAAGGAGGGCCTGCCCCCGCCCGCAGAAACCTCGGAGCCCAGGAAGAAAGCCCACGACAAGAAGGCCGGCCGCAAGAAGCATGGCCACAGGAAGCATGGGGACGGGGACGCCAGGGGGGCCCCAGGCCAGGAAGCCGGAGGCCGGGACACAGCGGCTGCCTGGCGCTCCCAGGAGGCCGACCCGGGCCCAGGACCCAGAGGTGAGCAGACCTGCCGTTTCTATGGTAACCCCATTGCCCACCCCAGGACTAGGGTGCTCTAAGTGGCTCCTCCAACCTCTTAGCAGAGGGGACGGACGGAAGGTGGGACAGCTGCCAGGAACCCCAGCCCTGGGAGCTCCCTCAGACCGGCTCCACCGCCAACCAGCTGTGTGGTTGAGCCTTAATCTTTTCCATCGATAAAGTGGAGATGATGACAGTTGCTGTGTCACAGGGTGGCCTCGGCCCAGCACTGGCCCGGGAAAGTGCTCCATAATGATCGCTGCTCCTGTGAAGTGCTCTTGTTCGAGGAACATGGGCCAGGGAGGAACGGGAGGCCGGGAGGGAGGCGAGGGTGGACGCCCGCCCTCCGCACTAGTCCTCAGCTGAGCACTGGGGGTGTCGGGGAAGTGGCAGGGCCAGTGCTGGGGGCTGGCCGCCGTGGCTCCAGCTGGAAGGACGTGCTGTGTGATCTTGAGCAGGTTGCTGCCCCACTCTGGAGCCTTTGACTCCTCATTTGTAAAATCAGGGAGCGGGTCCGAGGTGCCTTCCTTTTCTGACTCCGGCTCCTGGAGTTGAGTGTCCCCCGGACACCTGGAGGGGAGGGCTCTGCCCAAAGTTCCCATGTTTCCTGGGGAGAAGAGATGCAGGGAGGCCCAGGATGCTTTGGGGGCGGGGGAAGGAGGTCTGGGTGGAGGCGGCCTCTTTTCGAATGGAAGCCTCGTTGGGTTCCTGGTTCTCTGGTTAGGCCCAGAGCTGGCTGCAGCAGCGCCCTCCTGCGGCGAACACTGAGCTGTTTCCTTGTGTCCATTAACCAAGTCAGGAGAATGTCAC